AAAATGTAATCCTTCATGTATAATCCCACTTTATGAACCCCACAGGGGACAGTATTTCATCAGTATGAGTTTATTTTTGGATTGTTTTACAGAATTTGCTGTAAATAAAGTAGAAATGACACGGAAGACAAAGTAAGCTCGGTGGTCAGTGTAAATTCAAATCCAAGTTGATCAGGAAGTGTTTATGCAAAGCATTGCCAAATCCTTTTTTGGCTCGCTGTGGCAACCTCTGAGAAGTTAGCAGCCCAAAGAAAAACACCATTAAATTAACTCAGTTTAAAGTTTGTGTCATGGGAGTTCGCCCAACCGGTCTACATGTGTTTTGTGGACTTGGAAAAGGCGTTCAACCGAGTCCCAAGGGGGGCCTTGTGGGGGGTTCTCCGGGAGTATGGGGTACCGGGCCATTTGATACGGGCTGTCAGGTCCTTGTACGACCGGTGTCAGACTCTGGTCYGCATTGCCGGCAGTAAGTCGGGCTCGTTTCCGGTGAGAGTTGGACTCCGCCAAGGCTGCCCTTTGTCACCGATTCTGTTCATTACTTTCATGGACAGAATTTCTAGGCGCAGCCGAGGTGTTGAGGGGATCCGTTTTGGTGGCCTTAGGATCGCATCTCTGCTTTTTGCAGATGATGTGGTCCTGTTGGCTTCATCGGAACGAGATCTGCAGCTCTCGCTGGAGCAGTTCGCGGCCGAGTGCGAAGCGGCTGGGATGAGGCTCAACGCCTCCAAATCCGAGGCCGTGGTCTTGAGCCGGAAAAGGGCAGAGTGCCTTCTCCGGGTCAGGGGGGTCGCCCTGTCTCAAGTGGAGGAGTTTAAGAATCTGGGGATCTTGTTCACGAATGGGGGAAGAAGGGAGCGGGAGATCGACAGGCAGATTGGCGCAGCGTCTGCTGTAAAGCGGGCGCTGTACCGGTCCGTCGTGGTGAAGAGAGAGCTGAGTCAGACAGCGAAGCTCTCGATTTACCGGTCGATCTACGTTCCTACCYTCATCTATGGTCATGAGCTTTGGGTCATGACCGAAAGAACGAGGTCCCCGATACAAGCGGCCGAAATGGGTTTCCTCCACAGGGTGGCTGGGCTCTCCCTTAGAGGTAGGGTGAGAAGCTCGGTCATCCGGGAGGAACTCAGAGAAGAGCCGCTGCTCCTCCACGTCGAGAGGAGCCAGTTGAGGTGGCTCGGGCATCTGGTAAGGATGCCTCCTGGACGCCTCCCTGGTGAGGTGTTCCGGGCACGTCCCACCGGGAGGAGGCCCCGAGGAAGACCCAGGACACGCTGGAGGGACTATGTCTCTCGGCTGGCTTAGGAACGCCTTGGAGTTCCCCCGGAGGAGCTGGAAGAAGTGGCTGGGGAGAGGGAGGTCTGGGCCTCCCTTCTGAAGCTGCTGCCCCCGTGACCCGACCCCGGATAGGCGTAAGAAAATGGATGAATGGATGGAGTGTCATTTGGACTGGGTTGCCAAGAAAGTATTTTGAGGAATGTCAAAACCAAAGTGGATTGCTGACATTTTAAAACGACTCTAATCTGAAATTTCAAATCTCAGATTTAACTTTTTCATCACTTTTTAATACATGAGAAATGTTGAGATTATTTTCAAACACAATCGTATATTAGTACTGCAGCCTGTGGAATTTTAGTTAGGAATATCATGTTTTTGATGGAATAATTGTGAAATGTAAACTATTGCTTTAAGTAGTGAAAAAAACTTTGCTCAAGTCTATTTTTTCCCTTCTGTTATTTTATCAAAAAACAATCAAGAATGGAACATGTTCACATTTTTACAGCTTTCAAGACAGGATTTATTTAATTATCTTAACTTTATCTTCAGTTTATTGTTCTTTTTTTGTAAACCTTAAATGTCTCCAACATCATTGTTGATGTAAATTTTAAAAAAAAAAAAAAAAGTAATTGCTGCACAAGATGTTTAAATAATTTTACAAGTTTATTTCATCACCATATTTAACAGAACTATCATTTTAATTAACACTTCTGTCATTTTCTTCATCTAGTCTCTCAAAAAACTAAAACTCATCTACATCCGAGCTGTGACTTAACTTTCTCCACTGTTTAGTTTTCGATAGAACAAGAGGAAATTTCTAACTTTTAGGTGATGAATTAGTGCCTAACCGTACTAACCGAATACATTTTCATATTGGTTAATTATGTSTCTTTATTTGAATTTTTTGTGCCAGATACAAGCTTTTTGAGGGTGAGACTGCACTACATTGCTAGCGCTTGCTATGGCTGCCTGATCTCGTCCAAAACGACATGAATCCTGCATGCATTTAACCCTTAAACTACTGCTTTTACCCTGCATTTCCATCCTGTTCAGCTCAATACTTGTCATGTTTTTATGAGATGAGAAATGCAAGACTGAGAGGAAAGCTGCACCATTTTTCACGAGGAATCATTGCACCTGGAATATCACACATTCCTCGGAGAGATTTGCAGTTATTTAAGGGTTAACTAGGTCTATTAGTTCTTGCTTGTGTTACAATAAATGCATGCCATTTCTCAACAGAGAAAAAAAAACATTGGACAAAAATACCAGTATTGCACTTTTTTTTGAAAAAAAAGTTTCTCTTTTGTTATTGAAAATGATAAATGCATTTTCAGGAAAAGAAGAATGCATATTTTTAAGTCTATTTTATATATTTCCACACACATCACCATATTTTTACCTACTTTACTGTTGGCATATGTCCTTGGAAATAAAACACTTTGTTTCTTGTGTCTAATAGGCCTATAGAGTCCTGTCAGTACTTCTACAAAGACTATACTCTGCAGATTGACATGGCATTCAACGTGTTCTTCTTGCTTTACTTCGGCCTGCGTGTGAGTACATCTCAGATCCAGCAGGRGTTCTTGTTTTGCTTTTCTGTATTTATAATAACAACTTTGAATTTGTTTTACCTGCCCTCCTTCCCGCCACAGTTCATTGCTGCTAATGACAAGCTGTGGTTCTGGCTGGAGGTGAACTCGGTGGTGGACTTCTTCACGGTTCCCCCGGTGTTTGTGTCGGTGTACCTGAACAGGAGCTGGCTCGGTAAGAAGGCACCCATTTTTTTTCCCCTCAGCTTGTTGCTTGAGGTTGTATTTGCAAACAAACTGCGACACCACTGAGTGGAATTAATGGGACGAACTGCTGAATTCATCAAGTAAGCTCATGACATCTGGTTGTTTATTGTGATAACAGCAGCTGGCAGATAAACTTAATAGCCATGTCAGGATTTGTTGTTGTTGTTGGGTTGTTGCATGCGTTTCAGTAACATTTAACTTATTCCTGTCGTGTGAAATCCAACACAGTAACTCACAAGTTTAATGACTACGTAGCTGACAAGCATTTTATTCATCAAGTTCATGCTGGTTTGCTTTGTTTGTATCAGGCATTATCCTGCAGCTGTCTTTCAGATACCCTTTACTTTTCCATCAGAGCTTTCCTCTGACACTTGATGTAACACTAGAAGGAAATCAGGCTGGGATTGATGGTACACAGATGGATACAGAAGAGAGAGAGAGAGAAAAGGGACAGAGTAAAGGTATTAGGCTTTGTTGGGGGCCTGAGCCCTAGAATAGAAGTCAATCTGTTAAATGTGTGAAGCTCATCACACAGAGGGGCTGTGAGGAACTAGAGGATTACAAGGGATAACATTTTTTTGTAGCTGTATTTTTGGTTCTTGTTGGTGCTTTTTGTTCTGGTGAAGCCACCAGAGGCCAGTGTTTAAGTGTTTTAAAAACCTCCACGTTTAGAGTCAGTTTGAAATGTAAAAAAAAAAAGGTTTCATGTTCTTGTGTGTTTTCTTTGAGCTGATGGATTGTGACTTGAGGTGAAAGCAACAAAAAGTGGAATGATGTGTTGTTGGTGGTTGTTGCCATCTAGTGGACATATGGGAGCATGGTTGTAATTTAAACAGCTTTATTTAACCTTCTTTTAACAAACATTCTTAATATTTAATGAACCAAATGATGCATCTAAATAAAAACTAATCATATTGTACAGTTTTTTTAAGCAGCATATGAGTATTTTACAGTCATTCATTGAAATTTGACTGGTTGGGCTGGTTGGTTGTTCTATTTCCTGCTTCTGTCCATGGACGTCTGAAACTCACATGATTCATTTTAAATGTAGAAATATAAAAATTGCCCACTAAATAAATAAATGCACTTAAAATGTATCTGTTAATTTTNGTCAGGAAGTGCAAAAACATGTTGACAGCTGTGGAGGACTGAAGCTGTCCTAACTACAAATAAAAGCAGAAATATATAATTGGACCAATAACTAAATGAATACTCTTAAAATTCATCAGTTAAATGAAAAAAGGAGAACTTTACCTCATGTTTTATCATGTATTTGACCTTCATATTTATTTTTCCAGCTTAATTCCAACAGATAATATATTTTAGCACATAAATTACATTTTACTGTTTCAAAATACATATTTTTTGTTTTTCCTTTTACTTGTAGATGCATTTGTGTCTATACTCTTATATTTAATTAGTTAAATGAAAAAAGGAGAACTTTACCTCATGTTTTATCATGTATTTGACCTTCATATTTATTTTTCCAGCTTAATTCCAACAATTTATATATTTTAGCACATAATTTAAATTGTAATGTTTTTTAATATATATACTTTAATTTATTTTTATTGATTTTATTTCCATTTCCATTACATTTTTCGGTTCTGCATGCACAATCAATCTGCACATGGATCCTGCTCTTTCCTGTCTGTTGACCAATAGGAGAGGAGCTGATCCAAGGCCAGCTTATTTGCGAAATGAGGCAGAAATAAATACGGTGAAGTAAAAACAGACAGAAAAATGTAAAAACACACAGATATAAAAATACTTGTGGGAAAAAACAAAAAAAATTATAAAACAAATTAGAGACAAATGCATCTACAAGTAAAATGAAAAACAAATATATATATAATTTCAGTAAAATTTAAATTATGTGCTGAAATATGTAGTTTATTGGAACTAAAACTGAAAAAAAAAAACAATTATGAAAGTCAATTAAATTAAATAAACCTGAGGTAAAATTCTCCTGTTTTTAAATTAATTGGTACATTTTAAGTGTTTTTATTTATTGGACCATTTATTAAATTCTATTAATTTTAATTATGACAGTTTTGGTCTTTCATATATGCATTTGTTTTCATTCAGTTCTTTTTATTTGCATGCATGTTGAATTTTTTTGCTTTCATTATGTTTGTGGAAGGACATATTGCACTATTCTTGCATCACAGCTTTTCTTACAGCYGTGTGTGAATGGAGAGTGTGCTGAGACAGAGGAATGTTTATTTTTACTGTGTAACCTTTGCATGAAGTAGCTCTGACAGACAGCTGAATGAATGTTTGGCAGAATATTTTTACTGTGGAAAGCTTGCAGTGATTTGGAGAAGCTGTAATCTTCAGATTTTAAAATTAAAAAGAATTAAACATATGCATACTGAATGCATACTGATGTTGAAAGATTCTTAAATGAATGCTTCAAAATGGCCACTAAAAGGTAATCAGTGTACAAAAGTTAAACATAACAAACAATTTAGACAAAACCTAATCATTTAGTTGTATAAGCACCAGTTTATATCACAACGTATTTATATCACAGAATAATTATTATATTATTCCTGCAATAATCTGCCTCCTAATCTTTGRTTATGGTTACTGTGAGGTTTGATTTAGTTGTGGTTCTAATGAGCAGCATGGCATTTCTGTTGGATTCTGTCTCACCCAGTTATGTTGTTGTTTGTGTAGGTGGTGTTCTTTTTGTTGTCTCCTCAGCCCTGCATGACTCAGTGCTATTCAAACTCAACACTAGGTATAAAACTGAACTGACGTTTTCTGTAATCCCTCCCCCCCAGTAGAAAAAAGAGATTCAGTTGGTTATGGATGATTAGTGCCTGCATTTGTTTATTTGGTTAAACAGAGGTCAGAAATGTGATGAGGTCATCACCAGCTCAGTGAAATCTGGGTCCGTATTCCTGTGGGTCTTCAGCCAAACTGCCAATCTGTCTGTCCTGCTGCCTGAACATTTTCATGTGAATACACTCCCAATATTTCTAAAAACTCTTATTCATCAGCATGCTCCTTTTGTCCACAACAAATTGTGGATATAGACACTGGGTTTCAAACATGTAATTGTGGCATATGGGCATCCTGTCGATCTTTTACACTTAAAATATGTCAAAGTTACTTCTTTTGATAAGATCTTCAAGACTTAGMAACAGTCAGATGTTTCAGGGTTTTCTTCCAGAGATGGTTTAAAAACAGAAGAATTCAATGACCCACTTAAACAAAACATCAAATTCAAATGTTTAATGGAAATAGAAACTGTAATATTACTAATACCAACATTAACCAACAAGAAATCCTGCTGTGTTCCACTGAGTAAATGTGTTTTATAGATGCCACTGTCAATATTTAATAATTACTAACGCTTTCATGATTATTTTAAAGTGAAACCTGACATTTTATAAAATGTTTTATTAGATATATTCTGGACTTTTTTATAAACAATCAATCAAAAATGCAACAATGAGCTTTAAGTACTTTAGGTTTAATGCAAAATGGAAGTTGACATTTACCACAGAAGGAAATGGAAATGTGTATTAGGTTTAACATTAAATATACTATTAGTGCAACAGTTTTACATARTGCATTTAGATTATCTGCAATTGTGAGGAAAACCAGCAGAAATTGCCAGATAAGCTGAGAGCAACTAGTTTATGACCAAATGAACCAAATTAATTTTCAATCAAATGAACAAGGCTGAATTTTGACATAAATGACACAAAGGAAAGCAATATTTCATATTATTTCTTATTCATTTAATTTAGAAATGCTACTAAATTTTCAAATGAAGCATTTGGTTGAACCACACCCTCTGACAGGCATTAAAATGATTTGTGTAGTTTTACTGGTGATGAAAGCAACWCATTTCAGATTTTATTTTCGAAGTCGACACTAAATTATAGATTTATTTATCGTGTCAACTTTTCAGTGTTTTAGTTGCATCTCTCATGTTGTGCRTTTAATTTTAGCATCAACAGCAACAAGAGTTATTACATCAGCTGTGATTAATTTAGGGATTATTGTTGGACCACTAAATCCATGAAATATTAATCATTGCTGGAACTTCCTGGTTCTCCGCCATGCAGCTCTGCTGGCTTGTCTCGTGCTGTGGGGCAAAGATACACGCTGTTCTTTTTTCCAAGCTTAGAGAATGATTTTTTTTGGGGGGGTGGGGTCGGTTGTTTGTTTGAATGAGATGTAGGCTATACTGTAAAGCCCAGCTGATGAGCACACTCCCAGTCTGGCCTCTTCCTTTCTCTGGATGAATCCTAAAGGAGCTTAAACTCTAATATCCTGATGGGAAAAGGGTTTGATTTAAGCCTGCAGAAAGCACTGAAGCACCACCAGGATGCTAAAAAATATCAGTTGCATCTCCGAATAAAAGAGTTGCTTTTGATGCTGACTGGTTGAGTGCGAATATGAACGCACTCAGCTTTTCTTGGGATGGTTTTTGTCTTCTTGAAGAAGGATTTTTAGAAGCAGAACCGTGAAGAAGAGTCAGATTTTGGATCTGGAACGTTGTTCTCGTAGTTTTAGAAAAATGATTCCAACAAAGATGTTAGTGTACAGGGGCCCTGATGGAGGCACACATACTGATACGCTTCTAAATACAMCAAATACAACAAGACGCAAGAAGTCGACTGGAGAGCTTTTTCAGAATGGCTACAGGGTCAGGATGGGCCACGGGCAGGTCCACGACAAAGAGGACCAGGACAGCTTCTGTTTCAGCCTCGGTGGATGCTTTCACCTAATCTCCTACTGGGGTAAGACCTGCAGGAAAAAAAATAAGGGGAATCTCTCTAATGCTTTAGATTGGCATGTCCAGAATGATCTGGACACTTTGTGTCAGCGGGAGCAGGTTCAGGATCTGGCAGCTGGAGTTTGAGCTCCTGATGTGGCGAAAGTTGAACAGATGTTCTGAGAAGGCAGACTGCAGCGTACTTCATTTTCTAAAAATAAATAAATTAAAAATGCTTATTTACACTTTGAATTATTTTTAGCTGAATAATGTGCTGTAACATTTTTGATTTGTGTGCMCTGGCTTTCACACAGATTTGATTCAGTGGGGAAATTCATCAAACCAATTAATGCAGATGGATTTTACTAGATCATAATTCTCCCTACACCCTGAAATCTGCAGCGYTTGCAGCTTGTTTCATTCTCAGTTTGTTTTAATTGCTTTGCTATTTAAGGTGGGTTGGTGTTCATTTTAGCAGGTTAACTGTGGCGCGCTCAAATTAATCAGTTTAGGTTTTGAGATTTTTAAGACAGAAATAACACTAATCATTGTATGAAGAAGGTCATGATATCACATTGCTTTGATGGGATGCAGAAGCTGTTGGTTACGTCATCCTTAAACTGTTGGCAACAGACACTGGCTTCATTTTTTTCCCTTCTATAAATACCCCTAAATTTGAGATTTGACGTCACATCTGTTTACTCATTCAGTTTAGCTTTGGCACGTCCACCTGTTATTCCTCCAGGTTTTCATCTCTCTCTCATTCTGAGTTTTGTATCAGGTAGATGTAGGCGTGTTGTGAGACTCGCAGGCAAAAAAAGCTGTGCTTTGAGCTGATGAGGAAACAACTGAGATGCAGAGCCTCTTTTTATATTTTTTACCATTCTGAAAGGGTTCTTTTTGTGCAGTAAGTCTTTGTGTTGCTCGATCAGTCTGGAGTAAAAAAGTTTTTTATTGTTATGAACGCTTTGAAGCTAGTAAATATGGACGAAAGCCTGAAAGGTACAATGCTGTTGTCAAGCCACAGTTTAATGTAATTGGTRTAATACGTTCTGACAGCTTTTCTTTATTTGTTTTCTGACAGGTTTGAGGTTTTTAAGGGCCTTAAGGTTGATTCAGTTCTCAGAAATTTTACAGTTTTTGAATATACTAAAGACGAGGTAAGTGTTCAGATACTTTCCTTTTTAATTTTTTCTTTCTACACAATCTGTATTTTTTTTCACCTGGTTTTATGAGTAAACTTTSAGTTTAAATGATTGTTTTCTGGCTGCAATCCTGAATATGTGTTTATTTTGAAGTAAAAAAAAAAAAAAGCTTTGTAGTGTATTCCAGAAACACAAACTTTAATTTAATCAGATGTCACCTGTTTTAAAGTTCATGCAACCAGAAACACATTGATGGTCACACTTGACATCCTGCACACTATCATCCAGTCTTGAATGAAACGGGCTTCTCTTTTTGCCCTTGCTGCTGAGAATTAAAGCTTTTGGAACAGATGTCAGCAACAGCTTATAGCAYAACCAAATCCTTCAGAATAATCTTCTTAGTCATTGACTGAAATGAAAGTCACGCACAAAGAACTGAACACTGAGTGTGCGTGGATTTTTATACTGCAATAAGAMTTACATAGAACATCGCCTTTATAAATCTAAAGACATTTGCTCGTAAAAATGCATCATATTTAGGCAACATTGGCTAAAATTATTTTATCATTTCTCCTTTTTTTAATAAAAGCAGAATATAAGATATGTACAATTACAAAAATAAACATTTAAATAATTGAGAGTTTGAACTAGATTTTGATAATAAATATACATTTATCTGAAAAGTGATGCTTCTTGAATAAAAAAACAACTCATAACTGATTCAGTAATTCTTGTCTTTTTGTGTCATAATCTTAAAACAGCAACTCAATTAAGCTGGTCAACTTGTGTTCAATCTTCATAAGCACATGGCTAACAGCTGCTGGGTTCATCCACTTGGTAAGTTGGTGGCAGAAACTTCTCAAAGGTTGTGTTGTTTGTATAATTGCTGAAAATCAGCACACTCCAGCTTCGTAGAGGCTACAATGTTCAGCTCTTTAAATTCATTCAGAACATAGAGAATCCTACTGTGTGCTTTGGTTTTGCTGTTGGACTTTATAGCACTGTATCAGTTACCATTTAAGAAAACCAGCACTGTGCTAAACTCAATAGTTTCACAACACCGCAGTATTATTCATTCACCTGAAACCAACTGTATTCTTTAATTTGTCTGAAGTCATTCTTTGTTTGCTCGGTTTGAAATGGCTGCAAAATTTGTGTTACTATTTTTATGCAGGACAAGGACAAGAATCACAAAATAACTTTTGCCAAGAAATCATGCATATAGCACATCAGTAATATGTTACTCTAACCTGTTGCACTGTTCAGTCCCTAACAAATAATTCAATAAATCTGTTGTCAATCCTTCTTTCAGGTGGAAAACTCAGGGGATCCTTGGGAAAACTTCCAAAATTCCCAAGCACTTTCCTACTGGGAATGTGTCTACCTGTTAATGGTTACCATGTCCACTGTCGGCTATGGAGACGTTTATGCAAAAACCACCCTCGGTCGCTTGTTTATGGTCTTCTTTATCCTTGGTGGTTTGGTAAAAAATCTCTCCTTTATTCCTGCTTTAAAATACTCTACACAACCAGCCATCATGCTCCACCAGTTATTATTAAATGCTGGGACAGAACTCAGGACCCCATTCCCCTGTTTGTTTTATTTTATACTGATGTACTGTAGTTCACCTCTTCACCACAGTATGTAGCATATCATGTACTGTATGAGCTTGCCTTGTTACATACTGATTCATGTAGAACATTTGAAAGTTTTTGCTTTTTTTTTAATTGAATGTGTAAGTATTAGAGTTTTAAGTTGCTCCACCCTCCTCCTTCCCCTTCCTCTTTCAACAAACACAGTGACGGGAAAGATTTAATGAAGCTCAGTTTTACTAATGCAGCAACATTACTCAGCCTCACTCTGCACAAATGTACGGTTTAGACTGTACCATTGCATTAATTTACAAAACAGTAAATAACACTGAGCTATTTGCAAGGGCTATTCACATGTATTTTAAGGCTACGTCCTGCAAAATCAAGCTAAATACCGGTTTACTATCTGCTCTGAACTGACCACCGTCCATCCATCCATCCATTTTCTTCCGCCTATCCGGGGTCGGGTCACGGGGGCAGCAGCTTCAGAAGGGAGGCCCAGAC